TTTCAAAGGCAAACCTCCTACTGCCTAATTAGGACTCCAAACCCTCTGACACTTACGTTTTATTTTTAAATTAGTAAGCTCATTTTCATTAGTATTTACACATGTTTTTCCCCTTAATATAGCTAATCTCGGGCTACTTATCTTTCAAGGAGCACCTTATGTATTTTATATTACTTTCTCCAGGAAGTTTTCCCTGGAATACCAGCTCTCCTCTGTGCTCCAATTAATCATTTTCGCCTTCTGCAGTCACAGTTCTAAGCTGCACTGGCAACTATCTGTGTCCTTGTCTACATTCCCCCACTATACACACACACACACACACATACACACAACTTGCTCATCCATTCCTTAAATAGAATTCTAGGGTAGTAGCTTAATCTCTCTGAACTCACTTTTTTTTTTTTTTCTCAAAACGAGATTTACAATACCTGTCTTATCCTCTTGCAAAGATCACAAGAGAAAAATGGAAAAAGTATATATGTATATGTGTATAATACTGAGATAAGCAAGTTTGTTTTTTAAGTATGGTTTTATTGATTTCAGAGAGAGGAAGGGAGAGGGAGAGAGAGATAGAAACATCAGTGATGAGTGAGTCATTGATCAGCTGCCTCCTGCACGCCCCCTACTGGTGGATGGAGCCCGCAGCCCGGCATGTGCCCTGACCAGGAATTGAACCGTGACTTCCTTGTTCATAGGTTGACACTCAACCACTGAGCCACTCCAGCCAGGCTAAACAATTATTTTTTAATGGTAATTGATAATGAGTCTGTTCAAAATTCACTATATGTATTGACTGATTTTTGTAGATATTTTGCTTCTGCCGAGAGCTATTTAATAGCGATAGAAACTCTTAGACATGTTTGGAAAAGGTGCCTTTCAGTGCCTTCCTTCCCTACAAACCAGGGATGAAGCAAGGCCCCTACATTCTGTTCTTGCTCTACTCCCAAGGTTCCCCCCGCCCCCTATGTCAGAACTTGTCTATGTCTTTGAGATACATTGGTACAAATCATATCTCTGGCTGTAAAACTTCAAGGATCTTTGAAAAAAATGTGCTGGTGTCATGAAAATATCTGTTTCCTGAGAGGAACCTGATAAAATATGCTGTGCATGTAGAAGATGAAAATATTATTCTGGAACCTCTCTGTAACCTGGATACTCCTCAATACAAAATGAAATCGTTGTTTTAAGACTGTTTGGTTTTCAATTTTCCCCTTTTGATGAAATAATACAAACAAAATATCCTAATAATTAAGGTTTCAGTTACTCTAGATTTTGCTTTAAATGCAAGGGTTTGTGGTTATGACTAAAGTGGAAGCATTGGGGGGATCTCACACCCTTTCTTTCTGTGTTAGACAGGACTACGAAGAGCTACAAAAGCAACTGAAGGAAGTCTTTAAGGAGCGAAGCACCATCCTCCGTCAGCTGACAAAAACATCAAGAGAGCTTGATGGAATTAAAGTCAACCTTCAGGTGAGATGACAACTAACTTTCCCAGCAGCAGAGGATTGAGAGTCCTTTGGTTTGTCTTAGTAAATTAACATGTAAAGTCCTTTTTTTTTAACCAGTTTTGAATATGTTTCTAGGCTTGACCATGAAAGTGATTATTTATTATTATATGACCTTTGGAAATGTCATTCAAAATGCAGTCTGGGAATCTGGTTTGCAAATTTAGGAATGATAAAATTGTGTGCTTGGCAAATCCATCAATTTCTCATTGCTTCTAAGGTCAATTTGACCCCTTTGTTTTTTTAATATTATGAAATGATGAAAAGTAATTATGATCAAGAGTTGAATAAATATAGTCATGTTCCCTAGAAAAGAATTTTAAATTCCACAAAGATGAACTCTGAAGATTAATAAACCTCTTACTACAGTGGGTAAATGCCTTAGAAAGGAGAATGTCATCTATGAAAATGTATTAACACTCAGTGAAATCTCAATTAAAAAAAAAACAAGACAAGATGTATATATGAGAGAAAAAATTTTCTAAAATATGTGATAATGTATTTTAATATTTAACTTAAACATTGTATTTATTGAGTATATAATGTATATGTAAAGCTTTGGCTGTTTTATATAATTTAATTTTCATAATACATTTATGAGATAGATACTATTAATGTGATTTTTCTTGTTGTACATGGGGAATCATGCTTTGAGAAGATCACTTATTTTTGAATGTCAAAAGGGAAGCCAGCAATTAAATGCAAGCAGTCTGGTTGCAGATCCTGTCCGTTAGTTATTGCACCAAACCATGTTTCAGAACCACATGGACTCACCATTGTCCTAAGCTTTCTATTCCCATGAGGATAAGGACAGTAATGATGATGATGATGATGATGATGCTAGTGGTGGTGGTGTCAGTAACCACTACAACTTATAGAACATGGTCAAGGTCTTGCGTTAGGAACTCTTTCTATGATTTTTATTTAATTTTCACGTTACAAGTATGCTATGTTTATTAGTAGTCTCATTTGGTAGGTGGAAAACACAGAGTTAGAGAATGGTTAATAAGCAACCACGAGCACAGAGGTAGTCAGTTGGCAGAACCCAATGCCCAAGCTCTTGTTCCAGAAGCTGTTACATCTTGAGAACATGAAAACAAGACCAAAACAAAATTAAACTAAAACAATAACAACAACAAAAACCACCCGCTTTCCAGTAAGTAGGACACAGAAACAGGTATCAGGATACCAGTGCAGGAATAACAGTGCTGTGGTGGAAATCTTCACAGAGCATTAGGGAAGCACCGACCAGCATGTAAAGGGGAAGTAAACTGATTTTCACAGGAATCTGGAACCAGAGCTGCACCTTATCATTAGGCAGAAGTCCACTAGTTATATGAGGCTGCAAAGAATAGTAGAGATACCTGCACCTCCTCAAGGCATGAAACACCTGGCACATTCAGAATGTTTTAAGCATACAGAGAAATGCCTATGAGTGGTCAATGTTTGCAGTCTTTCCAAGAAACTGTCTCTATATGCCAGTAGCCTAAATTAAGGCATCTAATTACAATCTAGAAGATTGCTTGATAAAAATGTATAACTTCATGGAGTTACACTTTTGAAAGGGTAACAATCCTGCCACTAAATGTAGTTGCAATTTTTAAGACGCCTTTTGTTTATTTTTTCTGTGCCAACCATTATGCAAGGTGGTGGTTTTTTAAGTCTTATTAAACCGTCTTAACAACTTCTCTACAAAATCATACTCTCTGTAAAATCAGGAAACATGACTCCTGTAGGCCACAGGAATTGCCTGAAGTCATACATCTAATGAATGGTGATTCCAGGTTTCGAAGTCATAGTGAAAATAGCCCAGTGTACGTATTTTTCCCCAATGAGACTTCATGAAGACAGGAGCTTTGAAAGTCTTGTTAATCTCTGCAATCATAGCATCTGAATGGGATGGCAATATAGATCAATCAATAAATATTATGTTGATTAATTAGTAGTGTCCTTTAATGGACCAAGAATATTTTCCAAGAAGCATACTCTATTTCTTTGGATATTGTTGAGGAAGTAATAGTCAAGTGCAATCCAGCCCTTATAGTTTGATTAGCTTTGCTGACACCCACCTGCATATCTACCGTTTTCATTTCTGCATCTCATGTTTCTTTGTTTTTTTAATCTTAATTTTCTTGATGAAAGTCCCCTGACTTTTAAATCTTGGTTTCCTTCAGAATGTCCAGAGTACAGCAGATGGTCACTAAATGAATAAGCATATTTTTATTGTACTTTTCATCAAGTGCTTTTATACATCTATTATCCCCTATGAGCTTCTTGTTAACTGTCAACAGTAGGCTCTTCAAAATTCTCACTCCTGTTTCTGTGACCTGCTCGAGGTCATATGACCATGATGCATTTTGAACTTTAAATCTCAGGATTGGTGACTTTTCCCCATACAGAATTCCTTGTCCTATTTTCTTGGTAATTGAATGTGAAGCTACTCTTTCCAAATAAGCAGAGCTTCTTTCGTTGGCTGCTTCCTAATAAAAGCTGCCACTTTAGGTAAGAAGTTTCTCACGTGAAGTTCAGCCCACCACATCCCTTGCAGAATATTTATCTGACTATATGAAAATTGTCTGTTTTCAGCATTAGATTGAAAAACCTGTGAAGGCAGACACCATGCCTTTGTACATGTTTTGCATAATTCAAGATAGATATTTGTTAAATAAATATTAAGTAAACAGAGTGTTTGCCATTCTTGCTATTGTCAGTTCCCTACCTGTCACAGCTTCTCTTCCTACAAACAATATTATTGCCCCTCAGTTTCAACTTTTAGTATCAAGAAAATAGGTTACCTTATTAAATAATTTACTGAGTATAAATAAGAAAGTTCTTAGGGAAGGCTTACTGGGGCAGATTTTCTAATGAGAAAGCTCAGTGAGCTTCTCTGTTTTAATTCATGGTCTGTGAATGCTGAATTTGCCAGAGTAAATAAACGTTAATGACTGAGGTGGTATTTTATTTCCTTAATAACCCTATCTGTACAGACCAGTTATAATTTTATATGGTTCTATTTCTCCTTTGTAGTCTAATACATTATTCATAAATAATAAATAGACAGGTCCAAACAGGTGAATGCTTTTTGGCAGCTTTGATTTTGAATTGCATTATCACTTCACTTATTCAGGGAGCCCGTGTATGGCCCCTTGTATTTCTAGAAAAAAAATTTGTGTTTCTAGAAACTATACCAGAGTTGGTTTAAAATGCCTGCGGAGGACACAGGAAAACTTCAGACAAAGAGAAGATATATTTTATATTCACTTATTAAGAGACCTAGGTATTTGGAGAGCACAGTCCCCTGCATTGAACCTCTAAAGATTCAGACTCAGCTCATTGCCTTCGCCCACTGTGCAGTACTTGCTCTGCTTGGCGTCGTACATTCCCGTGCGCATCCTCAGAACCGTGAAGACATCACGCCTCATCTGCACGTTCGAAGGAAAGTGAGCCTCCATTTATCTCTTGAATAAGACTTTCTTTCCCCCTTTTTCTTATTAGTCTTTGAAAAATGAAGAGAAATCTGCCAAAACTGATGTTCAGAAGCTTCTGGAAATAGGTCAGAAACAGAGGTAAGACTGTGCTTTCTTTTTATTTTTTCAGTTCCTTTTTTCCATAGTGCTGAACTCTATTAAGAAACTTCACAAAAATAAGTTCATTCTAAATGTGTCAATTTATCTTCTTACTTTGATTGTATGAAAATCTCACTCAAATGCAGATTCTTATAAAGTAAATTTAGGGTGGGGTTTGAGATTCTACATTTCTAACAAATCCCCTGGTGATGGCGATACTAATGCTGCTTGCAGATCACAATTCCTGCATTTAAGGATCTGTATTACCTTAGATGATGGCCTCTGATAAATCTGCCCATCAATAGATCCGATAACACTGATCTCACTGGGCCCATTTATACTAGTATCAAAACTCAATCATGGTGATAATGGTGAGGGTGGTGAGGAATGGGGTAATCTTATTAACAATATAAATAGAATTAATACAATGTAGTTAGTCTTGGTTTGTTTATTTTTGAAGGAAGTATATTATGAGATAGATTTCCTTGCAGTATAAAGGCTTTGAAATTGCTTCTCAAAGAGAAGGTATTTTAAGGTGGAAACGAGAGCATTATACATTTACTTGATGTTTTGCTGGATGCTTTATTTATATTTTCTTGTTTCACCCTCACAATTACCTTCTAAAGTAGATATTATTATACTCTCTTAACAGATAGGAAATTGCTGCTCAAAGTGATTAGATGAATTGCTAGAGTTGTTTATTGGAATTTGCTCTGTTGTGTCCTTACCCAATAGCCACACCCTCTCACTTTAGTTCACTGATCACAAAGCAAAAAGCTGTCAAAAAGTTTACACACTACACTATGTAGTCCCTTCTCACCATTTTGTATCTTCTCCACTGTCCTTGCCTCTAGATTTAGAAACCTCTCATTGGCATATATTTGGATTGAGTTAATGACATGTTAAAAAATATCAAAGCTATTGTCCTACATTGACTATTTTTATTATTAAAATAAAATTATTATTTATTCAGCATGAAAATCTTTTCAAATCCAATACTTAAAAGAGCTTATAAAAATATTGGTTTGAGTATGTTTCCAAAAGTATGTCATTTTGTTACTTTATTGATTTGAACTTAGCCATCTCTTAAAGCACCGGTGCTCAATATTAGGCAACTCTTTGTGGCTCGCTGAGTTAGTGTTGGAGAATAGTAAACAGCACTTTAAATAGACATAACTAGTCAGAATAGACCAAGAGACACTGAAAATGACTACTTTGGGTTCAGCATTCCACGGTGGTAGAACATAATAAACAAAACGATAGAAACGGAGTGATCTTAGCACAGCACATATGCAGTGCCACTGAGAGGGCTGCAGGGGCTATGGGACACAGCGCCGTCAGGGAAGATCGGAAAATAAAGCCCTATACATAGACCGGGACAAAAACTTATAAAGATGGGAAGGAACCCCTTTTAGGTAGCTCCATGACAGAATGGCACACATTTAAAAAGTCTTTTAGGGGGATTATTCTGCGTTGTTCAGGGTAAGAAGAAAGAGACGCAGAGCAGGTGGAGGAAAGCTGGCTTAGAGGAGAGGACAGGGAGGCCTCAGCGGTGAGGGGCGTGAGCGGAAGGGCACTCGGGCTGCCTTTCTTCACGGCAGGAGGGCACAGGTGAGGACACAGTTATGCATGCTGGTGATAAGAAAAAGCCTGTCTTTAGTCTGCTGACATGGTCATAAATTTTCTTTGGCCATTTCTACAGGACACATAAAGTACCCAGGTAAACCAGGAAAAATGTGACCAGGTTTATTAAGAGTTTCTTAATCATGATGCGCACGTTCGGTATGGTTTCCAGACTACCAGATGGTGGACCAAGTCTTTCAATGAAAGGCTTAAATGGAGCAGCTATTTTGGCATCGCAATTTCAAAGTTTTATCCAAAATTAGAAAACCTGTTCAAAATGTATAACTTGTATAATGTGCACAAAATCAGAATGAAAAACTCAGTAAATTCTAACAAGAGGTAATTTTTCAAAAGGGTATGACATTTTATATGTTAGTTTTTGTTGTTTCCTTAGAGATCTATAACAATCATAGTTACCTGACTCTGAAGATGGCTATGTATCTCATTCCAAAAAGAGATAGTAACAAAGAGTAAAAGAAAAATATGATCTTAGCATATAAAATATATTAACTGATTGCAAATTTAGAAATGTTATCTGAGTCTGAAAGAGTATAATGTGTTGTGGATATTGTTTGGCTATAATCCTGGTCTTCTGGCAGACTGGCCACCTGCCCTTACCTGGAAAAGTGGTTCTTAGAAGTCATGTTTTTTTATGTGACTCTGACATCACTGGCTACAGTTAAATGCTTGAGAGGTGGCCACCAAAACAAAAATGAATCAATTAGAATTTTCCTCTTGTGATTATAACCAAGCGGCAGCTAATCAGTATCTCTGTATCTGAAACTAGGCTAGAGTAAAGTCAGAGGATATGGGGTGGCCATATATGACCATGTAGAGAGAGCAGAGAGTAACTTTCTGGCAAGAGATACAGAGAAAGGAGAGAGAGAGAGAGAGAGAGAGAGAGAGAGAG